TTGGTTTCTACTTGAAGAAAAAAAAAGGGATGTGAATGATATGCAGGCACATTTTACAGGAACACTTCACACTGCATGTTGCATCTTGTTCTGTACTTTCTCATAATTAGGAACAGATGTGATATCTAATGTCTGAACACTTTATTAAAAAGGAGAAACATAGTAAAACATGGCTTTTAATATGACTATATCACAGTTCCTCTTTTTGCCAATTATTTGCAAATAAAATGTTCAAAAAAATTAGCCAAAAAATTACATAACTTAAAATGATAATTCTTAAGAAAATCATTCCTGGAGCTTGAAATAGGAAATAGCGATTATGCAAATTATTAATCCCAGACTTACGTTTTTACACAAATTTTGGGATGTCTGTTCTCTCTGTTGTTGTTTCACTCTGATATTAGTGTTAAAGCAGGCTGTTGGTACTGAGAATGAAAATGCAAAATTATTATTTTGCAGTCCCTGTACGTGGATCTTCTGTCTAATTGAAAGTCCGCTGCGGTGCAACAGTCGAGGCCTTGGATGCAACCAGACTCAAACGAAGACAGATTGAAATCAAATTGACTTCAGCTCCTGAGAATAAATGTGTCCTTCGAAGTCAGTTGTGCTCAAAAATAGAAGCTGCTCAGAATCGAGTTATTAATCATCTTCATCATTTACGCCACATTCATTCTGGCCTGACAGCAACATGAGGGCATAATAGACGCGCTGTGATGACTTCTTTCCCCAAACTGTTGCGTTGGTGCTGAGACATGAGACGGTAATAACAGTGCAGACCAAAGTTAGATTGTTAAAGCAGCATGACACATTATTTGATAGGGGATTAATCACCGTCTGTTGCGAAGCGGTGCTGTCTGCTGGAACAGGGGGAGCAAAGAAGGTCGGATGTGAAGGTGATTTATTACGGTGGCTTGACTGGAAACTTCATGTTAAACATGCTGAATAAAAAAACTGTCCCATTCATCATTGTATGCACTCCTGCTGTTATTACATATTAGCTTTATTAAAACAAAGGAAGAATGAAACATTTTTGGATTGGAAGTAAAAGCTTCCAACACGCAGAGCGACTGTGGCTCTGTAGGTAGTGTAGTCATCTTGTGGTCGGAAGGTTGAAGGTTTGATTCCTCCTGCTACATGTCGATGTGCCCCTGGGCAAGGCACTTAACCCCAAAGTGCCAACCGATCTGCGTATCGGCGTATAAATGTGTGTGTGAATGAGTGAATGTGACTCTGGTGTAAAGTGCTTTGAATGCCCAAATCATTTGAAAAGTTCAGTACATTTACTTGTGAGCAAAAATTTATAGCATGACCAAAGTAAACCATCAAGCAAAAAGTATTCACCCACCTGAACTTTGTTTCAATAAATACACAAACTTTAATGCACTTTATTGTGGATTTATGCAATCGATAGACAGTGAATAGTCGTGAAAACACGTAAAGAGAGACTGAGGTTTGCCAAGGAACACTGGTAACAGGACACAAAACATGATGAAGACTGCAAAAGAGTTGAGCGTTGGGTGGAGGTTCATCTTCCACCCAACTAAAACAACACTAAAACATAAAGTGAGAGCCACAAAAATATATGTCCACAGTATTTTCAATTATACAATAAACCTTAGCTTGTATTTCACGACTGTCAGTGTGTTCATATGTGTTAGTCACAGAACAAATCTTCCCGGGTGACAGGAGATCAATGCAGATGAATTAATAGGCTTAGTTAATTAATCAAGAGCCACTGCTGTTTCAGTCTCTTCTGTCGGGGAGAGAAAACAAGTCATAGCTGTAATATTCTGTTTCTTCCTCACTACTAGCTACAGATGTTTTCTGTCCAGCTGCTCCAATTATACCATCTCCAGATGATCCCTCAGTGTTTTAGTTCAGGACTGTTTGAGTCTAAGTTTAGTTGAAAGGGGCATTTTTTTTTTTTTTTCCAAACAGCACTTGTTGCCTGGTACCACAGGGTATTGATTTAAAAGCCCTGGCCGAGCCTGTTGGTTTTACCTTCACGGACACAGTTGCCATGACATAAAAGCCACCGCTGAGCTTATGTGTATACACTGAAAAGGTGAAGGATCCAGACAATCAGAGCTAAATACAGTCACTTTAGAAAGCAAATGTCACTCCCGCAGGGGATAAACGTGTAAAATCTGCTCTGAGAAGCTGTGATCAGCAGCAGGCTAAACCACAACTTCTGCAGATGCTGAGTCAGATTTCTGAGGCTCTGAGCATAAACGCAATTCAATCACCTGGTTTAGTCATGAAATCAAGGATGTAAATCTAGTTTATTTTTAAAAACTGTAAAAAAAAAAAGTTAATAAAAAAAACCCTCCACAATAGTAAGACTTTTTATAAATCTGCCACAAGAATGTTTCAGTTTGCTATCCTCAGGCATTTCTGACAGCACCTTTTAATGAGGCTAAAAATATAAGTGTCTCAACTCCGTGTGTTTAAATTCCTTCCCTGACTGAACATTTCTCAAGAAATTTCAAAGCTTAATTTTAAAATACATGTGTAACAGACAAGACTTGTTCATTGTATGCCACGTTACTTCTCTTGTATAACCATCGGGCTCCAGGGAGTTTATCGTCATTCCGACGCCTCCGCATCGGGAGCCAGACAAAATTCCTCATCGACCTCGCCGAATACAGGCTACGGCTCCTCTTATTGACCGCCTTGCCTCTCCCGGTGGGCATTAGCCTTTCGCGGGCTCGTTACCAGATGGAGCGAGTCAGCAGTGGTGTACAAAGTAACCCCGTGCGCTGTCTTAGAGTGAACAGATGGAGCAGGAGGAGATGGGTGATCTCATACGGAGCAAGGAAGCAGGAATTACAGAGGGAGGCTTGCTGACTCTGTGTAACTAGGAAACTTGACAATGAAAACTGGAAAAAAAAAATAGACAAACCCGTTTTTCAGAGGCGAAACGCAAAGTTACAATAGAGTGATATGTCAGTCAAAGGATCTTCTTGTGGTATAAAAACTTCCTCAGAGTTCAGATCCAAGTTCAGCTGATAATACATGTCAAAACTTTATAAGTTGATTTGAGCAAATCCTCTCCCTTCAGTCTGAAAGAACCTGAGATACAGACTCTGGATATGCAAGCAGGTGAGGACATTCCCCAAGAGTTGCAACTTCACCTGCATTAAATGAAGCATATGAAGTTGCTGTATTTAATGTAGCTTGGTACCTGCAGTCCCTTCTTTATGTGTTTTCCTGGCGTTATTGGGACCATTGGGATGGCACAATCTGGTTCCAGAATTGTGCCGCTTACACTGGCAGCATGTTGGAGTAGCTCTGTTATATTAGCTCTGATTTGTTCTTTAAAAAAAAAAAAAACTTATGTTAATAATTGTTTAGTTTGGGACATTTTGCTGACTCCAACATCTCTCTGCCCGACTTTAGCCACATGGCCAGACAGAAATGTAAAAAGGAGCAGCAAAAGCAAACGAGGTGGATCAGAAATGCTTGCTAGCAATTCGTGGTGCCATTTGGATATGTTGCTATGGAACATCATCTGTGTTGGACAGAAATGTAGCTGTTAGTATGTTAGATGAACCAGCATAAGCCTTAGTTGGTTAGAACTGGCTGAGCGATTGTAGCAGTATTTGCCATCTGTGAGGAGATTAGATGAATTTATCCGCCAGTCCCCTTAAAAATCATCATGGAGGACTCTTGCACAGCAGGAGACATTTCTTTTGCTCTCACAAAGGCATTTTCAGGAGCTGCTGGAAGAGCTCCCTGCCCTAATTTCTGCAGCTCCTCCTCTTGGTTTCAAGCAGTGTCCTTAGCACATGTTAAAACGAGACAGATCCACACCCCACCAACTGCTCTGCTCTGCAGCTCTCTTCCTCTTGTTCGCACATTCGCTCTTCTCCACGAGGGCCTGGCTCGGAGGACGGCGTTTTATGTGAGTGGAGCAGCTGTCAGCAGAACAGCACAGAGAGCACACACTATTCTGAAGTGTGGAATATGCTATTTCTAGGATTTTTTTTTTTTTTTTGCAAAATACAAAATTGAAGCCCAGGACAAGAACAAGCCCTGCCACAAGTAATTGGGTCATGCTGCTTGATCGTGCTTTCACCCAGACCTCAACATATCCCTCTAAGAATGCCAGCTTTCCTGATTACAATGTAAACATTTGCCCTTTTTCTTGTGCTCAAAGACAAACAATGACAGTGAACAGGATAAGGTAGAGTTGTATATTTGTGACAAAATGTGCCGGTGTGTTCAAGAGAGCATTTGGGACAAATGTGGGAGAGAGTGAGAGGAGAACAGAGAGTCACGACAAAATAAGGTATGAGTCATATGGTGACGTAGCCAGATGGGTCAGGTAGCACCCATGTGGTGTTATCACTGACCCCAGAGGCTGCAGGCAAGCAGCAGACGCGTCCTGGGAATTCAGCACCAAACTGAATGTATAATTTCATCGTCTGCTGAACGTCGGCTAAACCTGCAGAAATTGCTGCAAATCCAAGGGAATTATGAAAAAAATATTTGAATGCTTAGTGTTCGGAAGCGCTTATTAAGGCTTCGGTGTGGCACAGTATCGGTGTTGGCGATGTCAAAACTGCTGCCTTCTGCTTTATGGTCCAGTGTTTTCCAGCTCAAACGTCATTGATTTAGTTTTACGGCCTGGAGCTTTACTGTTTTTCTGCAGCGTCTCTGCTCGCATCGGTCGTCATCGCAGGTTTATGAGGTGTTTTCTGCGAGACTGGTAGTAAACATCACAAAAACCAGACGTCAGAAACACAGATTTAACAACCTCAGGAACAAATAAACACAACATTTAGTCACTTTTAGTACCTGATACAGACTAAAGTAAAGGTGAGCAGGGTTGCTGGTTGCTATATGTAATATTTAGGACTATTTACCATATGGTAAAATGCTGCACTTGAACATTTACATGCTAGAACTTAACATGTAGTGTTAAAATTAGATGTCGATCCATCAATCACTCTTTTTAATATAATTTAATTAAACCTTTTAACGTTTTCATATCACAGCTTTAAGCTTAGATGTGTAGTGGTATAGAAATAGACATAATTTCACACAAATAGTTTCCAGGTGAGAAGTTCCGGTTCTTGAAGTGGGCGTGGTGTATATAAGGGAGCTGCTGCGTTCATTCAGGCATGTGTCTTTGTTCTCCCACTGTGTGGCTTGCGTCTAGTGGACTTTGGCAGCAGAAAGCAACAAATCGCTGGCTGGTGCATGTTGCGCTGATGTTCTGGTGGTAAAACGCCACTGTGCTGCGTTCCTTTTCTTCCTCGGTCTGCGAGTGTGTGTGCATGTTTTGTGGATCCGCAGGTTTCGTACAGTTGAACCATTGCTGCTCTGTCTACTTTGGTTTCCCGGATCTGTTCGGCGTTGTTCTGCGCCGGCTATGTAAATCTCCCGGATTCCTGCACAATTGTTTTCAAGTTGGACTGTGGCGGCGTTATTCGCCCTAACTGGAGCGGTGTTTGGGGTGTGGCATCGGCGCGCCCGTTTCATCTCCCGCTGTGGCAGGGCCACGCCTGGTCTTAATGTTTTAACTTGTATTGTCTGATTTTTATTTTTCTACTTTTGTTCACAGCCCTTTTTGTTTATTTCGTCGGGCTGATATTGTTATATTGTTTAACTGTTTTTTTTTGTTTGCAGTTGCTGAGGTCCGGTGGCGGTGTTGGTGTGGTGACGGTGTCTTCCTCGTCTGTGTGCTGTGATTCTGGAGTTTGGGTTGTCTCACTGCGTCTGGTGTTAAAGGTTTTTTTGATTTGCTGCGTTTGGTGGATGTCGTCCCCATAGCGCCCCCTCCGGCCGGTAACCTCAACTGCTGCAGCTCTTCTATTTTCGTTGATTTCTTTAGTTTAATTTTTAAAAGGAAACTGATTTTAAAAATATTTCAAAAGAATTTAATAAACGTATTTTTTATAATTTTGAAACGGTCTCAGATGTTTTACTCTATGCATGACTGAACCTGTGTGCCTTAAACAAGAGGTAATATTCCCAGGGTGGCGTTGTTGAGCAATTTACTAAAATTAAACTTCCACAAAATCTGAATTCCCATCTAGTGTTGCCACATTTTTGGCGCTGTTGGCAGGATTATGCTTTTTATGAACATCTGAGGCCAGTATTTATGTTCAATATT